TTTGTTTAGAATTAAATCAGTAACAACTTTTATTTGAAACATTTTTTAATATTTTTGCTAGATTAAAATTTTTTATTAAAGCAGAGTTTCCCTCTGAATAGTATGGTATGATAGCATTTTTTGTTGCAGCTTTCGAAGCAAACTCAACATCCAGCCTGGACTGCCTCAACATGATCGTCCAAAACATTCCCGGCAACAAAACGAAAGAGGAACCGACGTGAATTTATTTAAGAGGAGGTTACAGAAATTGTAGGTTGTAAATAAACTTTTTTTTATTATTTTCTTTTATACAAATCTCAAATTATTCATCTAAACTTATCCCGCTTCACGATGAACTGTCATAACCGGCTGATATTCCTCAACCTTTTCGCCCCCTCCAATTTCATTTCCAACCAAATGTTCGGAATTGCCGCCAAAATCAATCCGAAGCCTAGAAGATACACTTTTATCCAATTACAAAGGAGGCAATGAGCTCCAAATCCTAGGGATAATCCCAAGAATTTAAAAAAGGTTTGATTTGCGAAGGCTGCTTCGAAATTGTTTATGTACAAACTAGTTAGGAATGCTGAAAATGAGATTGGGTTAATATTTTGTTTTGGTGGGGTTTAAATTAGGTATTTACTGTAATTGAGCATCTCCCAGATGGCGTTGCAGACTCCCCAAGCTGCTGAAATGACGTAGAATAGAGCTGGGTCGTCGTTGATGGGTTTCCAAAGCATTTGGACTAAGAGGAGGCAACAATGGAAGGTGAATCCAACTCCGATTAAGTAATATCGCTTAACGCTCCTCATCAGCATGCTTAAAGTGAATGCAGCTATTGATTGTAAGAGCCCCATGCAGAGGAAAACCCAATTTAGGCGGTTAATTCCTAGGGTGCAGACCACGTAGGACTGAAAATGGGAAAAAATGAGTTAAAAAAGATTTATTTGTTGATTTTTTGATTACCTTGCTGAAATCGGAATACATAAAGCTTTGTTCTAGCCCAATAAATAGACTTAGAGGTGCTGAAAGTTGGAGGCGAAAGTCTTTGAAGCTCTCTTTAACAGCTCGAATAGCTGCGTAACCTTCTGATCGTTCTAAAGGGTCTTGTAAAATGAACGTTTTGATTTTATCCAAAAAAACGATTAAAATGACCCCCAAAAAAGTAATCGAAGCGTAAGAAATAATCAAAACAGTGGCAGTGTTTTCAGGAATGACTGAAAAATTTGAATTAACCAATTGAAATCGACTCGGACAAGCGGTGGATCCACATAATCGATCTTCAAAATCATCCAAATCAAAAATTTCATCCATAACCCGATTATAACTCGAATTCGAATTCCCCTCAAAAATCTGATTCTTAAAACTAAAATTAATAATCAAAGCCGAAAAAATCGACCCAAAAATAAACCCCAAATCGTGCGAAAACTGAAAACTTCTCGAAACTCTCCGAACCAAACAAGTTTTTCGTAAAAATTGCGACTCCTCGTCATCCTCCGAATGAATTTGACTCAACCGGCTCGAAATCGTCATAATAAACGAAGCTTTCGAAATAAACAGCGGACCCAAACTCAATCCGAACAACAAATAAACGGGGATTATTAAATAAAGAACCGGGTAAATATGAAACCCGTAAAATAGAACTAAAATTAAATACGATATAAATAAAATCGAATTATTTCCGAATTTTCTTAAAAAAAACGGCGCGATTATCGAGGAAATCGCGCCGAGGATGTTTAAAAACATTAAGAGGAATGCGCCCGAATTAATGCTGATGGGGAAGTTGTTTTTTTCGAAGGGGATGATCCAAATTGAGACGCTTGATTGTAGTGCTAAGAATGGTAGGAATGTCCATGTTAGGATCGCGTGTGATAAACAAAATATGATTAGGTTTTTTATTAAAACTCGTCGGGTGTAAACCGGGCCTAATTTGCTGCTTGTGTTTCGAACGACGGCTATTAATCGACGAACGGATGTCGCCCCGATCGAACTTGCCAAAGAATCTTTTCGTTTAATCGCGTTTCGAGTTGATCTCGACGAGTCTGGGGAATATCCAACTGTTTGCTGAAATATAAACAAAAATTAATTAATTAATTAATAATAATCAATTTGATTTGACAGTTATCAATCATTGGAAGTATGCAACCAATATCACAGTGCAATACGCATCATACGTAAATCGCGTATTACAATACTAATAGTGTGATATTGGTTGCATACTTGCAATGATACTGCTGGAAAAGACTAATAACTACTTGGAACGAAGAAATATGATCTCCAAAATACTAGAGATTATAATACTGCTTCCATAAGACTACTTACTGCTTTCAAAGTGCTATATACTACTAGAAAAGATTACGACCTGATTGGAGAAAACTAAATACTGCTGGGAGAAACTATTATCTACTTGGAAAGATTCCAAAACACTATTAAATGTTATCACTAGAACCAACACTATACCTAGAACTAGAATCATTTGGGTTTAGCCGTCTTTAGAGACGTGCGGCTAAACCCAAATGAATCTAGTTCTATATATAGTGTTAATTCTACATAGTAACAGTGCTAGTGTAAAACTAGAACTAACACTAGACCAAGAACTAGAATCATTCGGCTTTAGCCGTCTTATGAGACGAACGGCTAAACCCAAATGTTTCTAGTTCTAGGTCTAATGTTAGTTCTACTGACAGTGCAAGTGTAAAACTAGAACTAACACTATATCTAGAACTAGAATCATTCGGGTTTAGCCGCACGTCTCATAAGACGGCTAAACCCGAATGATTCTAGTTCTAGTTATAGTGTTAGTTCTACATAGTAATAGTGCTAGTGTAAAACTAGAACTAACACTAGACAAAGAACTAGAATCATTCGGCTTTAGCGGTCTTATGAGACGAACGGCTAAACCCGAATGTTTCTAGTTCTAGGTCTAGTGTTAGTTCTAGTGACAGTGCAAGTGTAAAACTAGAACTAACACTATATCTAGAACTAGAATCATTTGGGTTTAGCCGTCTTTAGAGACGTGCGGCTAAACCCAAATGAATCTAGTTCTAATTATAGAGCTAGTTCTACATAGTAACAGCGCTAGTGTAAAATTAGAACTAACACTAGACTAAGAACTAGAATCATTCGGCTTTAGCAGTCTTATGAAACGAACGGCTAAACCCGAATGTTTCTAGTTCTAATCTAGTGTTAGTCCTACTGGCAGTGCAAATGTAAAACTAGAACTAACACTAGACCAAGAACTAGAATCATTCGGCTTTAGCCGTCTTATGAGACGAACAGCTGAACCCGAATGTTTCTAGTTCTAGGTCTAATGTTAGTTCTAGTGACAGTGCAAGTGTAAAACTAGAACTAACACTATATCTAGAACAAGAATCATTCGTGTTTAGCCGTCTTTAGAGACGTGCGGCTAAACCCAAATGAATCTAGTTCTAGTTATAGTGCTAGTTCTACATAGTAACAGTGCCAGTGTAAAACTAGAACTAACGCTATATCTAGAACTAGAACTAGAATCATTCGGCTTTAGCCGTCTTATGAGACGAGCGGCTAAACCCGAATGATTCTAGTTCTAGATCTAATGTTAGTTCTAGTGACAGTGAAAGTGTAAAACTAGAACTAACACTATATCTAGAACTAGAATCATTCGGGTTTAGCCGTCTTTAAAGACGTGCGGCTAAACCCAAATGATTCTAGTTCTAGGTATAGTGTTAGTTCTACATCGTAACAATGCTAGCGTAAAACTAAAACTAACACTAGACCAAGAACTAGAATCATTCGGCTTTAGCCGTCTTATGAGACGAACGGCTAAACCCGAATGATTCTAGTTCTAGGTCTAGTGTTAGTTCTAGTGACAGTGCAAATGTAAAACTAGAACTAAGACTATATCTAGAACTAGATTCGTTTGGGTTTAGCCGTCTTTAGAGACATTAGACACTTGTCTTGCGCCAGCTGAATCCACGAGTCAAGAAGCAGTATACAGTCTTCTGAGAAAAGAACCTAATATTTTGTAAACACTAGCCACAGTTTTTAAACCATTTCTATAATTTTTAATAGTATCTAGTCTTCTTCCAACAGCATTAAATAATCTTCAAAAACTTTATAGTCTTCTGACAGCAGTATCTAAAGTTCTGTATGCAGTATCCAGCAGGCTTAAAGAAATTTCTGATGTATCTAACATTCTTAAAGCAGTTCTTTTTCTTCTGATAATATCTAATGTTCTGTAAGCAATATCCGAAGATTTTAAACAGTTTCTAATGATTTTAGCAGTAGAAACTAAGGGCGTGCGTCTGAAGATGCACGGCTATAGCCGAAACTTTCTAGTTCTAAGTCTAATGTTAGTTCTAGAGACAGTGCAAGTGTAAAAGTAGAACTAACACTATATCTAGAACTAGAATCATTCGGGTTTAGCCGTCTTTAGAGACGTACGGCTAATCCCAAATGAATCTAGTTCTAGTTATAGCGCTAATTCTACATAGTAACTATGGTAGTGTAAAACTAGAACTAACACTAGACCTAGAACTAGAAAATTTCGGGTTTAGCCGTGCGTCTTTAGACATGCATGTTTCTAGTTCTAGGTCTAGTGTTAGTTCTAGTTTTAATTGTTATGCAGCACAAGATTGTTGAGTATTTTTATTGAATTAAAAGTAGAACTAACACCAGACCAAAAACTAGAATCATTCCGCTTTAGCCGTCTTATGAGACGAACGACTAAATCCGAATGTTTCTAGTTTTAGGTTTAGTGTTAGTTCTAGTGACTGTGCAAGTGTAAAACTAGAACTAACACTATATCGAGAACTAGAATCATTCGGGTTTAGCCGTCTTTAGAGACGTGCGGCTAAACCCAAATGATTCTAGTTCTAGTTATAGTGCTAGTTCTATATAGTAACAGTGCCAGTGTAAAACTAGAACTAACACTAGACTAAGAACTAGAATCATTCGGCTTTAGCCGTCTTATGAGACGAACAACTAAATCCGAATGTTTCTAGTTCTAAGTCTAGTGTTAGTTCTAGTGACAGTGCAAGTGTAAAACTAGAACTAACACTAGACCAAGAACTAGAATCATTTGGGTTTACCCGTCTTTAGAGACGTGCGGCTAAACCCAAATGAATTTAGTTCTAGTTATAGTCCTAGTTCTACATAGTAACTGTGCTAATGTAAAACTAGAACTAACACTATATCGAGAATTAGAATCATTCGGCTTTAGCCGTCTTATGAAACGAACGGCTAAACCCGAATGTTTCTGGTTCTAGGTCTAGTGGTAGTTCTAGTGACAGTGCAAGTGTAAAACTAAAACTAACGCTATATCTAGAACTAGAACTAGAATCATTCGGCTTTAGCTGTCTTATGAGACGAACGGCTAAACCCGAATGTTTCTAGTTCTAGATCTAATGTTAGTTCTAGTGACAGTGCAAATGTAAAACTAGAACTAACACTATATCGAGAACTAAAATCATTCGGGTTTAGCCGTCTTTAGAGACGTGCGGCTAAACCCAAATGATTCTAGTTCTAGGTATAGTGTTAGTTCTAGTTTTACACTAGCACTGTTACTTTGGGTTTAGCCGTCTTTAGAGACGTGCGGCTAAACCCAAATGATTCTAGTTCTAGGTATAGTGTTAGTTCTACATAGTAACAGTGGTAGTGGAAAACTAGAATAAACACTAATCTAGTTTCAATTGTTATGCAGCGGTAGATTGTTGAGTATTTCTATTGAACTAAAAATAGAACAAACCCTAGACCAAGAACTAGAATCATTCGGCTTTAGCCGTCTTATGAGACGCACGGCTAAACTCGAATGTGTCTAGTTCTATTTCTAATGTTAGTTCTAGTGACAGTACAAGTATAAAATTAGAATTAACACTATATCTAGAACTAGAGTCTTTCGGGTTTAGCCGCACGTCTTTTTTCCAGTTTTAGGTCTATTGAGGAAACAGTTTTAGTAGATTTTTAAACAATCTCTAAAATTTTAGTAGCATTTAGTCTTCTGCCAGCAGTGTTAAGTATTCGGCAAGGAGTTTATAGTCTTCCGATAGTAATATTTACTGTTCTGGAAGCAGTTTCTACACTTTTTAAGCACTATCGAGTCTTCCGCTAGCAGAATCCACTAGTTAAGAAACAGTACATAGTCTTCTGAGAAAAAACCTAATGTTCTGCAAGCACTAACCACAGTTTTTAAACCGTTTCTATAATTTTCAGTAGTATCTAGTCTTCTTCCAACAATATTAAGTAATTTTCAAGAACTTTATAGTCTTCCAGCAGCAATATTTACTGTTCTAAAGTAGTTTCTAGAATTTTTAACCACTTCATCGTCTTCTGCCGGCAGTAGCCATTATTCAGAAAGTAGTTTTTAGTCTTCTGACAGCAAAACCTAATGTTCTGCAAGCACTATCCACAGTATTTAAACAATTTCTAGAATTTTTAGTAGTATCCAGTCTTTTGTTAGCCGTATTAAGTAATCTACAAGGACTTTATTGTCTTCTGACATCAATATTTACTGTCTGAAGCAGTTTCTACAATTTTTAACCACCTCTTCATCTTCTACCAACAGTAACCACTTGAAAGTAGTTTTTAGTTTTTTGTTAGCAGTATTTAGTGTTCTGCAAGCAATATTAGTTAAGTCTTTTAAGCAATATTTGGTTTTCTAATAGTATCTACTGTATCTAGTCTTCTGTCACCAATATCTAGTGTTCTTCAAACAGTTTTTAGTGTTCTGCTAGCAGTATCTAGAGGTCTGTAAGTAATATCTAAGTTTTTTAAGGAGAATCTGATTTTTTAGTAGTATCTAGTCTTGTGTCATCAATATCTAGTGTTGTGCAAGTAGTTTTTAGTCTCCTGCTAGCAGTATATATTATTCTGCAAGCAGTATCTAAGATTTTTAAGCAGTATGTGTTTCTTTAGTAGTATCTAGTCTTGTGTCATCAATATCCAGTGTTGTGCAAGTAGTTTTTAGTGTTCAGCTAGCAGTATCTAAAGGTCTTCAAGCAATATCTAAGTTTTTTAAGCAGTATCTGGTATTTTAGTAATATTTCTTCTTCTATTACCAATATCCAGTGTTCTGCGAGCAGTATTTAGTTTTGCAAGCAATATTAAGTTTTTTAAGCAGTATCTGGTTCGTTAGTAGTATCTAGTCTTCTGTCACCAATATGCAGTGTTCTATAAGCAGTTTTTAGTGTTCTACCAGCAGTATCTAGAGTTCTGCAAAGAATATCTAAGTTTTTTAAGCAATATCTGTTTTTTTAGTAATATCTAGACTTCTATTACCAATATCCAGTGTTGTGTAAGCAGTTTTTAGTGTTCTACTAGCAGTGTATAATGTTCTGCAAGCCATATCTAAATTTTTTAAGCAGTATCTGGTTTTTTCGTAGTATCTAGTCTTCTATTACCAATATCCAGTGTTGTGCAAGCAGTTTTGAGTGTTTTGCAAGCAGTTTTTAGTGTTCTACCAGCAGTATCTAGAATTCTGTAAAGAATATCTAAGTTTTTTAAGCAGAATCTGATTTTTTAATAGTATTTAGTCTTGTATCATCAATATCTAGTGTTGTGCAAGCAGTTTTCAATTTTCTGCTAGCAGTATCTAATGTTCTGTAAACAATATCTAAATTTTTTAAGTAGTATGTGTTTCTTTAGTAGTATCTAGTCTTCTGTCACCAATATCCAGTATTGTGCAAGCAGTATCTAGTGTTGTGTAAGCAATATCTAAATTTCTTAAGCAGTATCTGGTTTTTTAGTAGTATCTACTCTTCTGTCAGTAATCTCCAATGTTGTACAAGCAGTTTTTAATCTTCTGCCAGCANTAAGTTTTTTAAGCAATATCTATTTTTATTTAGTAATATCTAGACTTCTATTATCAATATCCAATGCTGTGTAAGCAGTTTTTAGTGTTCTACTAGCAGTGTATAGAGTTCTGCAGGCAATATCTAAATTTTTTAAGCAGTATCTGGTTTTTTAGTAATAACTAGTCTTCTATTATCAATATCCAGTGTTGTGCAAGCAGTTTTTAGTGTTCTACCAGCAGTATCTAGAGTTCTGCAAAGAATATCTAAGTTTTTTAAGCAATATCTATTTTTATTTAGTAATATCTAGACTTCTATTATCAATATCCAATGCTGTGTAAGCAGTTTTTAGTGTTCTACTAGCAGTGTATAATGTTCTGCAAGCAATATCTAAATTTTTTAAGCAGTATCTGGTTTTTTAGTAGTAACTAGTTTTCTATTATCAATATCCAGTGTTGTGCAAGCAGTTTTGAGTGTTTTGCAAGCAGTTTTTAGTGTTCTACCAGCAGTATCTAGAGTTCTGCAAAGAATATCTAAGTTTTTTAAGCAATATCTGTTTTTTTCAGTAATATCTAGACTTCTATTACCAATATCCAGTATTGTGTAAGCAGTTTTTAGTGTTCTACTAGCACTGTATACTGTTCTGCAAGTAATATTTAAATTTTTTTAAGCAGTATCTTGTTTTTTAGTAGTAACTAGTCTTCTATTATCAATATCCAGTGTTTTGCAAGCAGTTTTTAGTGTTCTGCTAGCACTATCTAATGTTCTGCAAGCAATATCTAAGTTTTTTATTCAGAATCTGATTTTTTAACAGTATTTAGTCTTGTATCATCAATATCCAGTGTTGTGCAAGCAGTTTTCAGTCTTCTGCTAGCAGTATCTAAGTTTTTTAAGCAGTATGTGTTTCTTTAGTACTATCTAGTTCTTGGTCACCAATATCCAGTGTTGTGCAAGCAGTATCTAGTGTTCTGTAAGCAATATCTAAGTTTCTTAAGCAGTATTTGATTTTTTAGTAGTATCTGGTCTTCTATTACCAATATCCAGTGTTGTGCAAGCAGTTTTTAGTGTTCTGCTAGCAGTACTTAGAGTTTTGCAAGCAATATTAAGTTTTTTAAGCAGTATCTCGTTCTTTAGTAGTATCTAGTTTTCTGTCACCAATATGCAGTGTTTTATAAGCAGTTTTTAGTGTTCTACCAGCAGTATCTAGAATTCTGCAAAGAATATCTAAGTTTTTTAAGCAATATCTGTATTTTTAGTAATATCTAGACTTCTGTTACCAATATCCAGTGTTGTGTAAGCAGTTTTTAGTGTTCTACTAGCAGTGTATAGTGTTCTGCAAGCAATATTTAATTTTTTAAGCAGTATCTGCTTTTTAGTAGTATCTACTCTTCTGTCAGTAATCTCCAATGTTGTACAAGCAGTTTTTAGTATTCTGCTAGCAATATTAGCATTTACAAGCAGTATCTGGTTTTTTAGTAGTATCTAGTTTTCTGCCACCAATATCCAGTATTGTGTAAGCAGTATCTAGTGTTGTGTAAGTAATATCTAAATTTCTTAAGCAGTATCTAGTTTTTTAGTAGTATTTACTCTTCTGTCAGTAATCTTCAATGTTGTACAAGCAGTTTTTAATCTTCTGCCAGCAGTATTTACAGTTCTGCAAGCAGTTTTTAATATTTTGCCAGCAATATTAGCGTTTACAAGCAGTATCTAATGTTCTATAAGCAATATTTAGTAAGCTTTTTAAGCAGTATCTGGTTTTTTAGTAGTATCTAGTCTTCTGCCACCAATATCCAGTATTGTGCAAGCAGTATCTAGTGTTCTGTAAGCAATATCTAAGTTTCTTAAGCAGTATCTGGTTTTTTAGTAGTATCTACTCTTCTGTCAGTAATCTCCAATGTTGTACAAGCAGTTTTTAATCTTCTGCCAGCAGTATTTAGAGTTCTGCAAGCAGTTTTTAGTATTCTGCTAGCAATATTAGCGTTTACAAGCAGTATCTAATGTTCTATAAGCAATATTTAGTAAGCTTTTTAAGCAGTATCTGGTTTTTTAATAGTATCTAGTCTTCTGCCACCAATATCCAGTATTGTGCAAGCAGTATTTAGTGTTCTGTAAGCAATATCTAAATTTCTTAAGCAGTATCTAGTTTTTTAGTAGTATTTACTCTTCTGTCAGTAATCTCCAATGTTGTACAAGCAGTTTTTAATCTTCAGCCAGCAATATTTAGAGTTCTGCAAGCAGTTTTTAGTATTCTGCTAGCAATATTAGCGTTTACAAGCAGTATCTAATGTTCTATAAGCAATATTTAGTAAGCTTTTTAAGCAGTACCTGGTTTTTTAGTAGTATCTAGTCTTCTGCCACCAATATCCAGTATTGTGCAAGCAGTATCTAGTGTTCTGTAAGCAATATCTAAATTTCTTAAGCAGTATCTGGTTTTTTAGTAGTATTTACTCTTCTGTCAGTAATTTCCAATGTTGTACAAGCAGTTTTTAATCTTCTGCCAGCAGTATTTAGAGTTCTGCAAGCAGTTTTTAATATTCTGCTAGCAATATTAGCGTTTACAAGCAGTATCTAATGTTCTATCAGCAATATTTAGTAAGCTTTTTAAGCAGTATCTGGCTTTTTAGTAGTATCTAGTCTTCCGCCATCAATATCCAGTATTGTGCAAGCAGTATCTAGTGTTCTGTAAGCAATATCTAAGTTTCTTAAGCTGTATCTGATTTGTTAGTAGTATTTACTCTTCTGTCAGTAATCTTCAATGTTGTAGAAGCAGTTTTTAATCTTTTGCCAGCAGTATTTAGAGTTCTGCAAGCAGTTTTTAGTATTCTGCCAGCAATATTAGCGTTTACAAGCAGTATCTAATATTCTATAAGCAATATTAAGTAAGCTTTTTAAGCAGTATCTGTTTTTTTTAGCAGTATCTAGTCTTCTGTCACCAATATCCAGTATTGTGCAAGCAGTATCTAGTGTTCTGTAAGCAATATCTAAGTTTCTTAAGCAGTATCTGCTTTTTAGTAGTATCTACTCTTCTGTCAGTAATCTCCAATGTTGTACAAGCAGTTTTTAATCTTCTGCCAGCAGTATTTAGAGTTCGGCAAGCAGTTTTTAGTATTCTGCTAGCAATATTAGCGTTTACAAGCAGTATCTAATGTTCTATAAGCAATATTTAGTAAGCTTTTTAAGCAGTATCTGGTTTTTTAGTAGTATCTAGTCTTCTGCCACCAATATCCAGTATTGTGCAAGCAGTATTTAGTGTTCTGTAAGCAATATCTAAATTTCTTAAGCAGTATCTGGTTTTTTAGTAGTATTTACTCTTCTGTCAGTAATCTCCAATGTTGTACAAGCAGTTTTTAATCTTCTGCCAGCAGTATTTAGAGTTCTGCAAGCAGTTTTTAGTATTCTGCTAGCAATATTAGCGTTTACAAGCAGTATCTAATGTTCTATAAGCAATATTTAGTAAGCTTTTTAAGCAGTATCTGGTTTTTTAGTAGTACCTAGTCTTCTGCCACCAATATCGAGTGTTGTGGAAGCAGTATCTAGTGTTCTGTAAGCAATATCTAAGTTTCTTAAGCAGTATCTAGTTTTTTAGTAGTATCTACTCTTCTGTCAGTAATCTCCAATGTAGTACAAGCAGTTTTTAATCTTGTGCCAGCAGTATTTAGAGTTCTGCAAGCAGTTTTTAGTATTCTGCCAGCAGTAATTAATGTTCTAAAGTCAATATTTAGTCTATTACAAGCAATATCTATTCGCCAAGCAATACGTAGTCTTATTCAAGCTTCCTTATCCCTATATTTTACTTTTAAAATGTAAATTTTTTAACACATAAGTTGAAAACCTTGACACCATAGCGATTTTATCCACAACAATTCTATCGACTCTCACCGATAAACGATTAAAAACCAAACTAATTGATCAACTTCAACAAAAAATAGAAATAAATAATAAAACATAGCTTACCTCATCATCATAAATGCTGGTTAAATGCTGCGATTTTCCATGATTTCGGTTATTATACCCCGAATGTCGATGTAAAACCCGATTCCTTTCCTCCGGAGTCAACAACCCACATACATTTGGTTGCAAACAATAATGTTGATGTCCAGGAATCGAATTCGGCCGATATCTCGATAAAGTCTCGCTCGAGCATCGTCCCAAATCAGTCAGATTTGGTAAACTTCCCATCGATGATATAATTATTTTCGAATTTTTTCATCCCACATTTCTTTGTGTGTAGATTATTTATTCTTGTCACTTTGAAAGTTTATTCAAAAACCTGTTTAAAAGGAAAAAATTATGGTTATTGTTTAATTTGAATAATTGCGTGCTCGTAATGTGATATTAATGCGATTTCAAGGTTAAATAATTGTTGGCAAATAAAATTGATTTAATTATATCATTATTATTATTAGATTAAAATTAAAAGTATTTTTTTTTTTACCAAGTTGAAGATTTTCTTGATCAATTAATTTATTTATGATTTAAAGATATGATCGAAGATATGATATCTCAAATTCCTCCTTTCTACGTTACTCCACGACCTTGTTATGATATTATTTTAAATGCGACTAAAAACAAATAAATAAATTAAAAAGAAATTTATTTAAAAAAAAAAAACCTTTTTTTTTAAATCTTACAAAATCATTGCGGTTAAGATTTAATTTTATTTTTCCACCTAGAGCTCGTAGAGTGATTTCGCAAGGTTAAATTCGAAGGATAAAACACGACAATTGTCGTTTTTATCTGTTAAAAATCAGCGCAACAAAAAATTCATTAAAAAAAAAAATATATATATATAAAAGGGAAAAATAAAATTGTTAAAAGAAATGAGGAAGTTCCATTCAAGGATTATAAAAAAAAAAGATTAAACAAATTTCACACTTTGTTAACCAAGAGAATAACAACAACAAAAAGGTGAGTTTATTTAACTCGACTTAATTATAAATAGTGGATAATTAATTTTTATTTTTAGCTTACCGATTTAAATGAACATCAACAAAGTGTCGAAACGCAGCGAAAATGATTTTGATGGCGATTTCTGGGCATGCTCCAGGTCAACTTGGCCTTCATGGGGTTGTAAAATCGATAGGTTTCGTTCGAGGGGGATGAAGAATAAAATTGAAATTATATACATATATATAATAAATATATGTAATAATATATATAATATAAATGATGATTGAAAACAGCAAGAATTCTTATACCATATTAAAAATGACATTGAAATTTTAATAAAAAAGCGTAAACATTAAAGGAATTAAAGCGGATATTATTAGATATAATTGAGACATTAACTGCTTATTGAAAATGAGTATAAATAAATTAATGTTGAGTGAACGGAAAATAACGTCATTACAATTAATATATTGTAGAAAGGACTTCTTTGGTCAGGATATAAACAAATTTATAGCCAAAATTGTATATTCACAAAAAAAAACAGTTGTACTCTTGACGACGACCAAGCTCGAACTACTCGATAATAATTTAAAATATAAATGTAATTTCTACAATATCAAATCACTGCTCTAAATCGATTAAACATCAAAATTGTTGAAAATTAACTCAATCATAACTCAAAAACTAAAAGCGATGGAGAAAAACTTTTTACACATAAAACCTTAGTTATGGGCCATAAAGACTAAATCCAGAATAAGATTGAACCCAATTATTACTATTTTTTATTTATAAGCTCTAAATCGATTAAACATCAAAATTGTTGATTTTCGAAAATTAACTCAATCATAACTCAAAAACTAAATACGATGGAGAATTATTTTTTATACATAAATCCTTAATAATGGACCATAAAGACTAGATCCATAAAAAGATTGAACTCAATTATTACTATTTTTTATATATAAGCTCTAAATCAGTGGTGGCCATAACGTCAATCGCCAAGAAAATCATAAATCTGAAATATCTATATCTGGGCCTCAGAGCAAAAAAAAAAAGGCTGGTTACTTTAAACCCTTCGGTCAATCTTGGCAAAACATTTATATAGAAAGTCGATTTTGATCAAAAATTAGTAGGCTTCATTGCAAAAACCAAGCCGAAGTCGCTTGCGGACGAGGCATTACAACTAATATTATATCAACTCAAATCCTTATAACATAAAGCACTGCCTCGGTCCAAACGGCCTTGACATAATTGTAAAAAGCAATGGATTTAAGGAACTATGCCGAAGTCGCTTGCAGCTGAGGCAGTACAATTATTATTATATCAACCCAAATTCTTATAACAAGAAACAATGTATCAAGGAACTTAGCCGAGGTCGCTTGCGGCCGAGGCAGTACAATTAATGTTTATAGCGATTTATCGGCAGAGAGTAATATTATATCAATCCAAGTCCTTATAACACATAGCACTGCCTCGACCGCAAGCCTCCTGCCAGCAGTGTAAAGTATTCTGTAAGGAATTTTATATGTATATGTTTATATATAGTATGTTTTAACAGCAGCTTTTATAGTTTTTAAGCATTATCTAGCCTTCTACAAGCAAAATCCATTATACAGGAAGCAATATTTAGTCTTCTGCCAGCAGAATATAATGTTCTGCAAGCAGTATCCACAGTTTTTAAACAGTTTCTAGTATTTTTACTAGTATCTAGTGTTATGCCAGCAGTATTAAATATTCTGCAATGAGTTTATAGTTTTCTACCAGCAATATTTACTGTTCTAGAGGCAGTTTCTAGAGCTTTTAAGGAGTTTTTCGTCTTCTACCAGCAGAATCCACTATTTAGAAAGTAGTTTTTGGTCTTCTGACAGAAGAACTTATTGTTCTGTAAGCACTAACCACAGTTTTTAAACAGTTTCTAGTATTTTTAGTAGTATTTATTCTTCTGCCAGCAATATTAACTATTCTGCAAGGAGTTTATAGTCTTTTAACAGCAAAATTCACCGTTCTCGAGGCAATTTCTACAGGTTTTAAGGTCTTTTTCGTTTCTACTAGCAGAATCCACTATTCAGAAAGTAGTTTTTGGTTTTCTAACACAAGAAGTTAATGTTCTGTTAAGCACTATCTACAGCTTTTAAACAGTTTCTAGTATTTTTAGCAGTATTTAATCTTCTATCAGCAGTATTAAGTATTCTGCAAGGAGTTTATAGTCTGCTGACAGCAATATTGATTGCTTTGGAAACAGTTTCTATGGTTTTTAAATACTATCTAACCTTTTACAAGCAGAATCCACTATACGAGAAGCAATATTTAGTCTTCTGACAGCAGAATTTGATGTTTTGCAAGCACTATTCACTATTTTTAAACAGTTTCAAGTATTTTTAGTAGTATTTAGTCTTCTGCCAGCAGAATTAAATATCCTGCAAGGAGTTTAGAGCATTTTCTAGAGTTTTCAAGTACTTTAATATCTTTAGGTTTTCTGAGAGAAGAACTTAACGTTCTGTAAGCACTATCCATAGTTTTTAAACAGTTTCTAGTATTTTTAGTGGTATTTAGTCTTTTGCCAGCAGTATTAAATATTCTGCAAGGAGGTTATTGTTTTCTAACAGCAATACTTACAGTTCTGGAGGCAGTTTCTAGAGTTTTTAAGGACTTTTTCGCCTTCTGCCAGCAAAATCCACTATTCAGGAAGTAGTTTTTGGTCTTCTGACAAAAGAACTTAACGTTCTGTAAGCACTATTCATAGTTTTTAAACAGTTTCCAGTATTTTGAGTAGTATCTAGTGTTCTGCCAGTAGTATTAAGTATTCTGCAAGGAGCTCAAATGCTAAAATCAACTATATCTCTGAAACAATTCATTTTAGGACCTAAGTTTACTAAGACTTTTTTGTTTATGTTGATAAGAACTATAAGTGGGTAAAATATCTGAACACAATTTTTAAACAGCCTGTACGTATTTTGACCTAAAAATGAAAAATGTGTAATAAAATGTCATTTAATTTAATAAATGTATACTAAAATAACAAAAATGATCACAATGAACGTTAAAAAGTGTCGTAGAATCAAAATAAAATACAGTTAGGTATAAATTCTTAAATTATGAGACCTAAAAACAAACTAATTAATTAATTAGTTTGTTTTTGAGTGTCATAACTCATAACAATTTACACCTAATTTCATTTTATCTTGATTCCACCACACTTTTTAACGCTCATTGTGATTATTTTTATTATTTTAGTTAATTATATTATATAAGCTAAAGAATTGACATTTTTTTCGAGATCCAGCTTCTATATTCGTTTTTATGTACCGATTACATTAAATGAATTTATTAAATTAAATAACATTTTATTACACATTTTTCTTTAAATTCTATATATCAGGAAAACTACTACTATACTTATTATTAATTAAAAGGAACTTTATGAGCAATTCCAATACACAGCGTGTTCCATTTAAAAAACTTAAGAAAAAGCCATTTGAAAAACATCAAAAGTAACTAAGCTTTATGAACACGCTGTATAGCGTATCTAATATCTTTGGATACTGTCATCTACCTACTGGCTTTAACTATTATTTGACATAGTTTCAAGGCAAAATTAGAAAAAATGGTGTTTTTATATCGTTTTTAAAAAGATCCTGTAATGGGCACATTTTGAAAGAACAATTGAATATCTCAGGAACTATGAACGTTGTGAAATAGTAACATATACAGTTGTATAAACACATTTAGTTGTATTCATAATATGATAAAATATACAGGATGTTCTATTTAAACAAATTTACGTACTCTCCGTTATGCTTAAATGGAACACTCTGTATAAGTGAAAATAATTTTACGTAATAGAAAGTGATGAGTCAAACAACTTTTGTATAAAATATCTTTTTATACAATTGGCCGCCGGGATACTAATAACTCACCTGTATATATAAAATCTCTTGTGACAGTTTCGTCTAGTTTTCTTCTCTTCACTTGTGATTCATCATCACATTCATTACTAACAAAATTGTCGCAGTTATCACTTAAATTAAATTCTTGAAGGATCCTTGTGGAAATATCACCAATTATTAATTAAAGTGTCCTCTTTTTGATGCAAAAAGCCGTTTTAAAAAATCACTTTTAGTTTTTGAGAAATAAATTTTTGAAATTTGTTTCGAATTTTGCAATTTTCGCCTATTAAGTTTTAAAAATTCGTATAAAATGGATTTCTTGGAATATGACTATAAAAATTTCCCAAAGTGTTAATAAAAGTGTCCTCTTTCCAATGAACCAACCCGTTTTGAAAAATAACTTTTAGTTTTTGAGAAAACAAAATTTGAAGTTTTAATAAAATTTTTGATATTACATAACTTTCAAAATTCGCTATAAAATTAATTTCTTGAAGGATCATTGTGGAAATATCACCAATTATTAATTAAAGTATCCACTTTTTAATGCATAAAGCCGTTTTGAAAAATCGCTTTTAGTTCTTGAGAAATAAATATTTGAAATTTGTTTCGAATTTTGCAATTTTCGCCTATTAAGTTTTAAAAATTCGTATAAAATCCATTTCTTGGAATATGACTATAAAAATTTCCCAAAGTATTAATAAAAGTTGTCCTCTTTCCAATGAACTAACCCGTTTTGAAAAATTACTTTTACTTTTTGAGTAAACAAAATTTGAAATTTTGATAAAATTTTCGATATTGTATAACTTTCAAAATTCGTTATAAAATTAATTTCTTGAAGGATAATTGTGGAAATATCACCAATTATTAATTAAAGTATCCTCTTTTTAATGCAACAAGCCGTTTTGTAAAAGCACTTTTAGTTCTTGAGAAATAAATTTTTGAAATTTGTTCCGAATTTTGCAATTTTCACCGATTAAATTTTAAAAATTCGTATAAAATCGATTTCTTGGAATATGATTATAAAAATTTCCTAAAGTGTTAATAAAAGTGTCCTGTTTCTAATGAACCAACCCGTTTTGAAAAATTTCTTTTAGTTTTTGAGAAAACAAAATTTGAAGTTTTAATAAAATTTTCGATATTATATAACTTTCAAAATTCGCTATAAAATTAATTTCTTGAAGGATAATTGTGGAAATATCACCAATTATTAATTAAAGTATCTTCTTTTTAATGCAAAAAACCGTTTTGAAAAATCGCTTTTAGTTCTTGAGAAATAAATTTTTGAAATTTGTTTCAAATTTTGTAATTTTCATCGATTAAGTTTTAAAAATTCATATAAA